AAGTGTTCCAATGTCTTTGATATGAACACTTCTCAAATTACGTCTCTCATCGAGTGCTTGGTACCGTGCTTGAGACACATGAATGCTAAGTGAGTGATGGACCGCATGATCTGAGATTGCCCACATTGATTCAAAAGAATGAAAAAATAATCAAAGCAAAAAAAAAATGTTGAAAATAAACTTGTAAAATTCAAAATTTTTCAAATTCACAATTACACATATTTGGGATTCTCTCAGTTCTTGAGCCTTTTACCCTTTTCTTCTTTAAACAATCAATTTACAGGGCCACAAAATTAATTTCTCTTGGTTTTGTGATGTGGACACGAAAGAGAAAAGTAACTTATGGTTTGGGGAAATGAGCTAGGAATTGGATTGGATTATGAAATGTATTGAATGGAAACATGGATTTAAGTACTCTAAAAATTAAATACTCAACCCGACCAATAATGGCGGTGAAAGGTTTTTCATCATCGGGTTTGGTTTTGGGGAGACATTTATAGGTGTCTATAGAAGCCCCCGCTTTGATAGAGTTTGTAAAAACGTGAGTTTCGAAAACAATACTCAAAGTAGTTGATAGGGACATAGAATGATTTAAGACATTCTACGATCCTAAATCACTCTTTATACGCCGATACCTGCAGAAAAATGTTAGTTATACATATAAAAAAGTAAAGGGATAGAACGCTTATATGACACCAGTGTATCGGTGGCAAATATGTTCGATAGTATCTGACACCAATGTATTGGTGACAAATGAGTTTGGTAGCTTTCTATGGTTGAAGAAATCCACCGGATGATGCTTGTTGAGATACTTTCCATGCTTGAGTAAAGTCAACAGATGAAATAATCGCTGACTTCTTCACCTTGAGAGGTGGCAACGATCGACAATTTTCCGTGCTTGAGGATAAACTTGTCTGATGATGAGATTGCAAGTCTCTGTGTATCGAGAACCTTGCGCCGTGAATCGTCTTCGCTTGGGAGATGATCACTAAAATGATTATATGGTGCTCATTGTCGGTAAAGGTGAATCTCTGCTAACAAGGAACAGAAGTTGACTTAGCTAGGGTTCATTATTATCGATTGTTATTTAATAGTATCTCTTAGTATATAGTTCTAATGTGGAAACATAGAGGCTATGTTAGGAGAAGCAAATGAACCCCGGAAGGCGGCTAGATTGGATCCTTTACTTCGATATTCGAGCATGTTTAGTTCATAATTAATTCAATTTCTATGCCTTTGTTTATGTTTGAGTGAATGTTATAGCTTAACCATTTCTCTTAGTGTTTTATTTCTTGTTTTAGCATCTTTAGACTTTAGTTTATTTATCTCCTATTCGGGACTAGCTTAATTGTCGATAACATTTGGTGGTGTTTATTCGTTCCCTGTGGTTCGACCCCTATGCTTGCCTTATACGCGTATTAGGTTTGTTTAGGTTGTATAAATTGTATTTGATCTAGGGATATACAATTAACGACGCGTTTATTCCCTTGTCAACAACCCTTAACGGCCACGAATCCCTCAAAACAGCCACGATTCCGGCCACAAATGGCCGAAATCGGCCAGTTAAGGCCACTTAGCCCCAAAATCGGCCAATTTCGACCATTTGTGTTTGGATTCATGGCCGTTTTGGGGAAGCAAGGTTTTGAGTTTGGTTGTTTTTGGGGGCGACACGGTTGCGGGAAAGGGAGGGATAGGGTTCAGGTGTGTTGGGAGTGCTGGTGCGCCGCTGGTGGTGGGTTCGGGGAGGGCAGTGGTGGGTTGGGGGAGGGCGGTGGTGGAGCGGTGGTGGCGGTGTGATGGTGGCGGGATGATTTTAGGTTTTCTATTTTTTTATTTTTTTTCTTTTTTTAACAAATATAATGGTGACACGTGTCACCGTGGACCACACTTAACGAAATTCCAGAACGGAATCCGTTAAGTGATGGTAATATCAATTATTTGTAAGTTTGTCTGGTGTTAGAATAATTTTTTTATGGGGGTGTTAAAAACCATTTTCAGGATTTTGTGAGGTGTTAAAATCTAAAATTTCCTTATAAAAATGGGTAGTTCACAAATGACCCTATCTTTAGGGTATTTCTTGACAGAATTTCCCTAATTTAGAAACGTAGGGTTTTCAATTTGGGGCTTTTTAAATCAAAACCAAATCTAAAAATTTATTTGCATAATACTTATAATCAAACATCATAAAATCATCACAAATATCCAAAAACATCAATTAAATAAAGACTAATTTAGGATTTGATGGGTGTCATAAATGGCACCCATTTGATGAGCATTTAGGTTGTTTTTACCTTCTTTTCATACCTTTCCTTCTTAATAAATGCATAGTTTTATGTTTGTTCTCTTTATTTTACCTTTTCTCTCTTATTTTGTGATTTTGTGCATTTTGATGGTTTTTCTAGTGTTTTCACTTTTATTTGTTCTCTTTTGGGGGTTGTAGCTATTGTACGAGGTTCGGTTCTTGATATGGATGGATTAGGATTAAAGAAAAAGAATTAATTTTTTTCGGAAGCCGCATGCACACAGCCACCACAACACGCGGCTAGGTTGCTGTCGCGCCCGTCGGTGTTGCCGCGGCGGTTGGCGTGCTTGCTGGTGGCTGCGGTGGTGGACGGCAATGAATGATGGTGGTGGCCGGCCGTGTGTGACAAAAATAAGGTGAAGGGGAATGAAGAAAGAAAGTGAAAATAAGAGGAGGGAGAGAAAACTACATTTGGGTATCCTCCACTCTGTTGAATATTTATACCCTTTTCAGTAGAATCCCTCATAAACTTAAATTTCCTTCCTACCCTTAATATACCATTTCCTATTCAAACTTGTATTTGACTTTGCCTTTAAAAGTTATCTTTTATAATATGACATGCCCCAAACTATTTTTTTAAATAAAAAATAAAGTATTTCCAAAAGTATTAAATAAATAAGTTAAATACCATAAATAATGCATTTGAAATTATTTAAATATTTTATAAAATACTTATTTAAATTAAAATACATATAAAAATTCGGGGTATTACAGAGGGAGGTAGTTCTTCGAGGAAGAGGGTTGTGTGCATGGTGGTCAATAAAGGCTGGTTTTTTCTTTTTATTAAATAAAAGATTATTATTTAGAAAAAAAATCAATTTTAATAATTTAGACCAACTAAATGACGAAAATTATGGGCAAACTGTTTAGCAGGTTACAAGTTTATTTTTATTCTTGTTTAAAATTGAAATCCCTAATTGTTGTAATATTCAAGAATAATCAAAAGGTTGTCTTGTTTAAAATCAACAACCGCCTAAAGGTTGTATTATTAATATATAGAAATTTTTTCAAATATCTTGGCAATTTAAAACTTGATTTTAATTTTTTTTTCTTCGTTGCAGATAGCCAACCGTAACTTCTCGATGTTGACTAATATTTTTCTGATGTTGACCCCCCAGGTGAAACTCATGTGCTCGTTTTTTTTATATTTATTTTTATATATACTAATTCCCACCCTTTTTCTTCTATTTCCTTTTATATTTCTCTCTTTTCATCATTTAAACCTCTCTCTCTCTCTCTCTCTCTCTCTCTCATTAATTTAATATTGTCTCTCAATAGGATGTTGTTGAATTCGAGCAAGGCAGTTATATTTTTTTTTCAATGGATGACATTTCTAATTAAATTCGACATATGTAATTGTTAAACTTTTTCCTAATTTGTGCATAATGAAGATTTTCAAAAACATCAGGGTTTGTTACCCCCTTTTGTTAATTTGCTCTAAATACAATGATTTATGTAAAATTGTATAATTGGTCCCCTTGTTGCTCCTCCTAAAACATGACACAAAACTCATTTTTGCTTTGTCCTTAGCCATGACAAAGCAATTGCAGAAATTATTAGTACTAAATCTATAAAAAGGGAAAGACATAGGTTCTTTTAATATTGCATCACTTGCCTTTATAAAATTTTCACAAATATTGTACCATTTTCATTTTAGGACAAAAAATATATATATTTACACTGCAAATTCCAAATATACCCTTACTTTTTCACACTTATTCTTTAGTTTATGTTTATATCACATGGACAATATTGTGTTTAAACCTTTCTATCTCTTCCTTTTTCCCACTACCAAAATTATTGTGTCCAACCTATATGATGCAACCATAAAAAATAGAGGAATTATACATCATTAATCAAATATTTACTATATTGAGTGGGGTGTCAATTGTTTGCATTTCACTTCTTCCTTGATGATGGACCAAGCCCCATGACATAGAAGGTTGAAGACGATTAACTGCCTCGATTGAAGAATTTAGAGGGAGAAGGGTTTAAATGAGAGAGAGCAAGGAGGGAATTAGAAGGAGAAGGGTTTAAATAAGAGAGAGCAAGGAGGTAATTAGAGGGAGAAGAAAGGGGGTGTGATTGTGAGAATAGTAAAAAGAAGAGCAATAAGTGTTGCACATGGGAGGTCAATGTCAGCAAAAAGCCAATCAATGTCAGAAAGTTAGGGTTAAATGTTCTCAACAAAAAAAATTAAGAAATTTACAATTAGGTTTTAAATTACCAAGAAATTTTTATAAGGGGTTTTTTTTCCCTAACCTAAAAGTTCCTTAAAAATGTATTTTCGACATAACGAGGCTATAGATTCAAGTGTATGGGCTTCAACTAGGGCTCTTGGACCCGGAGTGGGCTATTGAAACCCTTAAGCTTGTAGGGTTAGTCAAAACGCTTGAATATGATGGTGATGGCCTTCCTACCGAGCTAGAATTGTGGGGTCAGATATTAGTCGATCTTTCTAAACCGTTAATTCCAGGCTGTTTTGTTTCGAGTGATGGTGACCCAATATGGGTTTATTTCCGCTACGAAGGGGTGTTTATGTTCTGTAAAAAAATGTGGGTTGGTGGGTCATTTTTAAGATTTTTGTCATAGTTCGGATTATGTGGCTGTTAGAAGGATAAATTCTCGTTTGGAAGCCTTCGAGGCTCAGGGGTTAACGGTGCTATACAATCAAAACCTCAAACCTTTTTATACAAATATGATTGAGGGTACTCAGGATGTTTTCACAAATAGAAACACAAGAGTTAATCTTCTTGTCTTAGCGCAAGATTTCGAGTATGACAATGAGGATACTTCGGGTTCTGATGATGCAGTTAATAAGGATGATAATGATGATAATAATCGTCATGGAAATAATCATAATGGTAATGATGATAATGAAGACGATCAGGAACCTCCTAATGATGATCAAAATGGTGACAATAATCCAGATTCGGATAATGGTGCTGAACCTGATAACTCAGATTTTGATTCTTCGGGATCAGGGGGTAATGGCTTGCCAAATGGATATGTGCACGCAGCTGCTCCTACAGGGGATAACAATGATAACATTGATCTTGAGTTTATTCCAATAAATGGGGTTTATGAAAATGGTTACTTATCTCACTCGAATCATGTGGTTTCTTCCTCTAATTCGAATTCTGCGGCTTATCTGCTTCATCAAAGGGGATTCAGAATTTTGCTTCTTCTAAACAGACCCAACAACCACGGAGTCGTACCATAACCCGAGTTCAACATGGTTACTTGAAGAGAATCAGGCTAATTTAATTGACGAGATTAGTGCTGCTAATGCTACTGCATATCAGCGAAGGATTGCTATTCCTTCAGGTGACCCTATGCGCCTTTCACTTATCAGCAAGCGGCTTCTCAGTCTGATGGGGGTTTATAAGCCTGCATATCCGAAATAGGGAAGCCGATCATAAGACCTGCACCGAGTGAATGGGCCATGGCGACTTCGCTTGTTATGTCAGCCCCTATGTCGGACATGCAGGCTCGACTTGGTATCAAAAACGAAGGAAAATTAAAACTCTGAATTTATATAGCAAGGGCGGGTTCTTTGTAACACCCCAAATCTCCCTTTACGGAAATACTAGTATAATACGTATAATTATACCGTAGAGATAGATTTGGGCGTAGTACCTCCGCGTGATTACGTAAGGCTACTCAAACTACTTAACTCAACAACAAAAGTTGCAGCGGAAACTCAACTTTCTTTTATTAATACTTATAAAAATAGTAACATCATTATGAGTACTCAAAATAAAGACAAGACCAACATTCCTAAACTAGGTGAAGTAAATCTCGGGACTCCCATATGCTCATTCATGATTCCACCTGAAAATAGTCAACACTGCTTACCATTACGGTAAATAGGGCGAACCAAAACAAATAGGAAATACGGATTAGCAAATTATGCTAAGTACGATAAGTGCAAGATAGTGTAAACTCAATTTATTTGCAAACATGCTTTTAAAATAAATTCCAAAAATTAATCCAATAAATTTCAAACTCATTATTCCAAAAAACGATTCCAATGATTCATATTCAAAATAATAGTTAATAAAATCAATTCCTTTATTAAGAACCAATTCCTTTTAATCCAATTCCTCACCCAAGTGTGCACACCCCCCAAACTTGTCTCCTTATATTACAAGGATATTTTTGAGGAAAGACACGGTCATACAAATTCCAAGGCCTTATCAATAAGCCAAATCCGCATAGTGGGATTACTTACATGCTTATCAAGCATTAATAATAATAATTCAATGGTTCAATAAATCTTTTTTATATCCAGTAGTTCCTATATAATTCAAAATCCTTTTTAATTAATTCCACATGCTTTCAAAATCAAACCTTGTAAATAAATACTTGAGAATAAAATCTAATATTAATAACTTTTTAAAATCAACAACTCTTCCTAAAAAAAAACCTTTATTTAATCCAACAAACCTTTTAAAATCAATTCCTTTATTTAAACTTGATAGTAATCCAAACCATTTAAAACATGATTTGAAAATCAATCATTAAAAATACTTTTTATTAAAATCAATACCTTCAAGCATAATTTATTTCAAAACCATAATTCAAATCAATTTAATTTAGTCACCAATCAAATCACATAAAACATGTTATTCAAATCAATCACTTTCAAAGGTATCTAGCCACCTAAACGTACCTTGATCCTTGCTAGAAAAACCAAAAAAAAAAAATAACCTCAAGAACCTTGATCAAACACACCCAAAAAATAAGTATAACCTTAATCAATATAAGGTTAACAAATAATTTAAAACCCCCAACTATATGTACATGAACCTTTTAAATTAATTTCTCATAAACATCACTAAAAATCTGATTTTATATAATTAAAACTACTCATAAAAATTATTTATATAATAATAATAATAATAATAATAATAATAATAATAATAATAATAATAATAATTGTAGGAAATATATTTCAAGCTTTAATCCCACTAGCTTGAACCCCACTGTGATCATACACTAAAGTACGGTGGCGTCCAAAAGGGAAGAAGATAGAGCAAAAGAGTCGCCAACAAGTTTTTTAGGAACTTGTAAACCGTTCACGAGGTGAAGGTTACACCCCTTAACGATCCAAGAGATCGTCAACTCCATAAGGTCTAGAACCAAATAAGGGTTCGGGGATGAAGGTACAAATCCAACCTAAAAAAGATTGAACCTGCCCTAATAATAGGCCTCTACCTTATTCAGATCGTATTCATGTGCGCTTTTTAATTAACATGCAATCATTAGGATTAACCCTAAACCTGTTTATCTATGTTGGTTGAATTTAATACACAAATAAATCTATTATTGGCGATAGCTTGAAATTATTATCATAATTAACCCTAACAAGATTATTAATTATCTTATTAAGCGTGATTACAAGTACAAATTCCCTTTAAACATGCATAAAAGGCGTGATCAAGCAATAATTATAAATAAACATCAAGCAACATAATAATAATCATAACAATAATTATAATTATAATAACTATAAATATCATCATCATAAGAATAAATTATAATTGAAAAAATCATGATAATAATCATAAAATAAAATAATCATCAACAAAATAATAATAATAATATTCATAATAACAATTATAATCATAATCAAAACAATTATAAAAATAATCATAAATCATGTTAAAGCATAATAAAAATAGCAAGATCCTAGGCATGATACTAACAAGATTAATAAAAAACCCTAGCATGTCACTAAGAAATAAAAATCAAATCTTTAATCCTAACATGATACTAACAATCATAAATGTTAGGAAGAATATAGGAAGTATCGCAGGAATCATATTTAATATTAAAATTACCCTAGACATGATACTAGGAATATCATAATAACAATATAAACATGATGTCTACATCATAACATCAATAAAAACCATTAAAGTACTTACTTTGATGCCTCGTACCTCTTTCTAATAACAAAATACACACGTTAGTAACTTCAAGGAAAATAATAAACAAACAATCAAATTAAATAATTGAAATAGAGATTTGGGACCAAACCCTCAGAAATTAAACCTTTCATGTCTAGGGCGAAGGCAACTTCGAAAATGGCTAGGTGTTTCTAGATCTTGTGAATGCGGAATTTTGTATGAAAGGCAAAGTTTAGAAAAGAGAGAGAGAGAATTGATGAATGCTAATTAAAACTGGTTGTAGATGAGTGTAGATGAGAATTGATGATGAATGAATGTATGATTGCGAATGAAAAAACTGATTGTTGGTGAATGAAAACGAAGTTTTTAATACGATATTTATAGAGAAAATCAGCAAAAAGATAAATTAAACAAAACAGAGTCTGACGAACAAAAAACAGAGCTGGCGCCAACCCTAGCTAGCTGGCACCAGGCACCAACACTAGCGCCAGGCGCTAGGCCTGGTTCCAGGCGCCAAGGCCAGGGGTTAGGCGCCAAGACTAATTTTAACGCGTTTTCGAAAATCCGATAATTTTGCCGTACTGGAGGATAAAATCATATAATTTCCTCGGAAATGCTATTTGATTTTGATTAAAACTCTGAAAAGTCAACAAAAGTCAATTTATCAATGCTAATTGAATAAGGAATGAAAATAATTTTCTAGAAGAATCTAGAGGACTAAAACCATTCCTAATTGCATTAGGAATAAAAAATCATATTACGCCCTCCCCTAGATCATTGGGCCGTACATAAAGCTCGCACCGGACCCAGTTTAGTAAATTGGCCATAACTTCCTCAATATTCATCGGAATTGGGCTTATAATATATCGATGGAAAGCTCTTTTCAAGCCCTATCCAAATACACTACTATTGGACCCATATCATGGACCAACCAAACTGGATTTACTGTTTTCTTAAAAATAAGTTTCCGAAAACAGAGAGAAGAGAAAAGAAAATAAAACTTTCCGCAACACTAGACTTTCCACACTTTTTCTTCATTCGATTATGATTCAACGCGAAAGGTAATCATCACCGGGTTTGGTTTTGGGGAGACACAAATGGGTGTCTACAGAAGCCCCCACTTTGACTGAGTTTGGAGAAACGCGAGTTTCGAAAACAAAAGTCAAAGTATCGATAGGGACGGAGAATGATTCAGAACGTTCTGCGATCCTAAATCAATCTTGTAACGCCGATACCTGAAAAACTAGCGTTAGTTAAACAGATAAAAGAGTTAAAAAACGCGTATCTTGCACCGTCGAGCACACGTCTCTTAAAGTAACCGATTGTTGCTGTATCCTTGTTTTGATGACCTCCTGCAAGCTAGAGAATGCCATCCCGCTTGAAAACCGCTACGCCTGTAACTGCTTCCAATATAGAAGATTGCTTCGCCTGAAACGATCTTCCTCCGCTATGATAATATTCCACGTCCAAGGGAATACCATCGAAGATTGCTTCTCTTGAAACAATCCTCATCCGCATTGATAATATTCCACGTCCAAGGGAATACTATCGAAGATTATTTCTCTTGAATTCACCTTCAGTTGCCTTTTGACAACTTTCCACAATCTATGGAACGCCATCTTGCTATTTGTTTTGACGATCTTCCGCAATCTAGGGAACGCCGCCGATCAATGTTGCTACATCTTGAGCCTTTTCTTGAATCATAGTGACAACCTTTCCAATCATAGCAAAATTCGTCGAAGACCGCCCATCTCGTGCTATCTTCTCAAATCCTGGGTGACAACCTCCACAATCTTAGCAAATGTCGTCGAAGACCGCCCATCTCGTGCTATCTTCTCAAATCTTGGGTGACAACCTCCACAATCTTAGCGAACGCTATCGAAGACCGCTCATCTCGTGCTATCTTCTCAAATCTTGGTGACAACCTCCACAATCTTAGCGAACGCTGTCGAAGACCGCCCATCTCATGCTATCTTCTCAAATCTTGGGTGACAACCTCCACAATCTTAGTTAATGCCATCGAAGACCGCCCATCTCGTGCTATCTTCTCAAATCTTTGGTGACAACTTCAACAATCTTAGCGAACGCTGTCGAAAATAACTTTACTTGAAGTCATCCTCAGTTGTTGCGATAATTTTCCGAAGAAAATTACCAAAGACCAACACTTGTCGATCTTCAAAGCTCGCTCAAACTTTGCTTCCGCTATGCCTGTACGTCGGCGCTTTCGTTGCTTTGAACCTATACGTTGGTGCCTTTTCTGCTTTTGAGCCAATGCTTAGGCGCATTAAGTCAAGTGAGACGATCTTTCATCAGGTCGATCACTTATTTGCTGTTGTAATCAAACCGACTACTTAATCATGTCAAATTGCTTATAGGGGCTAAATGGCGTACCAAGGAACCCGAAATTGTTGTATGAGGTCAAAATCACCTTTTGGAGAGGCTTCGAACTCTGTCGCTGCCGAAATATCTCTGGCGCCAAGAATTGACTCTGT